TTGGGGTCTTGGATCTTCATTAAGCGATTAGGTTCTGATTGACATATTTAAACATTTAAATATAGTGCAGACTGAACGCATGAAGACAATGGTATTAATGTTAGAATTTTTTACTCCATGATCAATAATACACGATTTAAGCATGCGCAATTACCTTTTTTTATCTTTTTATTGTTTTACATGTGTGAAGAATTATTATGCCGCGGCGAATATATATATATAATATATATATACACGTGCAGTCGTTCTGTTGTAAACTAATTTATAAGCTTATTTGGTTTAAACGTGCCTTCACGCCGGGAATGGTCATCCCCTGTTTTGAGAAATGTTCATTCTGTTACTGCGAATATATCTGGACAAGCTCCTTCGAAACACGATGTGTGACAGTATGAAGACTGCCTGATTTATCCGGAGGATGTCTGTGTCGATTTCATGAAAGGAACACATATTTCTAGGTGGTTGTTAGACTATATCCACGCGTAGGTCTAACCATGCAAATACAAACCATGTAGTTCCTTGATCTAACGTGTCAAATCTTGTTGGATTTATATTAGATTAATGATTAGCTCTGATCTGGTTTAATAAAATATGCACCAAACTTACCGTTCAAAAAAAGAAACACTGTGCTTGTTCAGTTTTGACAGCTGTGTTATAACTGCGTTCTTCTATCTCAGTGTCGACCTGCACGATGCTTCATTGGCTCCAAATAATGATTTCTGTGGGTTTGTGAAGACACCGCGCCACACGCTTACACCCAGTAGTCCAAACGTGTATCAATCAGTGTCGGGGTTCGTAGGTAGTGGATTTATAGAAAACAAGTTGAAAAGCCAGAATAAATACATGGACATACCCAGTGAGCTGTTCCAAGCTTAGTTCATTAATAGTAAATGGGTTGATCAAAACGGTGACTAACTGTCTAATATCCGGCTTTAACACGTACGGAGCAGACGTGACTTGAACAGGTATTCTACCACGAAGGCTTTTTGATAATTCCTATAAAGGCGTGTTAGTATCCATGGTGATGGCGTGCCTGTGGTATGCTATCAAACTGGTGTCCATTATAAAGTCTTCTTTATGTGTATTAAGATTCCAATAGCATATTACAGTGTGGTGCGTCCATTGTACTGAGTATAAATTGGCAGTGTTTAGACTGCAATTAAACAGCGGATAAGAGAATGAACTATGGGTGCCACCGGCTCTCTCTGTTGCCCATCCGACGGGAGCAGGTAAACCACGAGCGATTCGTCGTCCATTTCATTGTATTTAGTCCTGTCAGTAAAGAGTGGTAGTCGTCGCGCCACGCATGCGTAGATATGAGACGCATATTGACAAAGATGGCGACTGTGACTGTTGCGCAGATGAACTGAGACGTAACCATGATTTAACTAATTAATTACTTGAGTGATTGGAAGGTGTCTAGGGAGTCGCGGTAATTAGTGTACGTTGCACCTAGGTCAAAAACTCTACTAGAAATTTTCATTAGAAGAACGTATTGGATTGCGGTAAAATCAACAAAAATGTCGTACATGCGCGGCCCGACGGCAACAGCCCTTTAATTTCTTTGTTTGAATCATCCATGCTGAACTTCATACCTGAACTCTCGAAAGCGAGGGTACTTTGTATTTGTGATGGTGATCGTCGCTGTTTCTGCAGAAGTACTATGGGATATTGCATGATGGGAGTCAAAAGTCTTTTGATCAGTAAAATGATTTTGGAAAAGTGAAAACTAGAGTGACTGTGAAAATGAACGTTGGTTTTAAATATTAAATATCGTGAAATCTGAATAAAATAATGTATGGAAATTGAGCTGGTATGAACGGGCAGTAAATGTAGCCAGAATGCAAGGTCAGAATCCGGGCTCAAAATACGTCACAATACATCCATCATGTCGGCTGCAAAGTGTCAACAACTATGGATGCGGTAATAGCCTTGATTTGCAGTTTGTGTGAATGACCGGGAGGAAATACATTCAAATTCTGTGCTTCAGTAACAGTATTTGCTGCTTTTTGTGCAATGGAAATTAATACAAGAAATGCTGCCAAAAGACATTTCCTTCTAGTAAACAAAACAAGCTTGGTACATTTATCTTGAGAAATTGAGAAGACGAAAACCCCTTGGGACAGTCGTTCTTGTGAAACAATGGACAGAGTTCTTCAGGGTATCAAGGGTATTTTTGATTATATCATTATATCCACGATTATATGAACACATTAAACTATTGTTGTTTCAAAACTGTTTATTTTGGCGATTACTATTGAACAACGGGGACTTGTCAATTTTGAATCAAATAGACGTAATTTTCAATTTTCAGGTATTGATCAACATTTTTTTTAAAAATATAACAATATGTGATTTTTTTTACAAAAGCTAATAAAAGTTGACTTTGTCATACGATGATGTTGATCCCATTATAGCCCATCATTTGAACGATGACGTCACCTTCAATTTGCTCCACATGGGTTTTAATTGGCTGATTTTAAACAGCAAAAAACTAAATGGATTCACGATTTCAGAAGAGGTATCATCTTTCCATCAGTGTAACACAACCATTTCGATCAATTATACACACATTAATACCACCAAGTAACCTTATGAGAAAACTACCTCGGATACACATCTAATTATTCACAAAATTTAAAACGTGGTTTTTCTGCGCATTACAGGGGCATAGGAAGGGGGACTGGAGAGTGGGAGTAAATTGCACTATACATATACTCCTATACTTTCATTTTAGCTCAACAGAGCTATTAATCTTTACACATGCCCAAATTAAAAGTAACAGAAAAATTTGTCAGCATATTCACTAGTCAACTCACTTCGTTCCATCATTAGTTTATATTTACTAACCCCCCTCGGACAAAGTTCCGTATGGAGGTTGTAGTTTGACCTCCGTCTGTCCTTCACGAGGAATTCCTCAGAGAAGGGTGAACCGATTTTCTTTAGTACTTGGTACAAAACTACTTTTTTATTGTCTATTGTCATTTCTTTGCAGTGACATGACGTTTTTTTTTCAAATTGCTCAAATATGGCTGACTGTTGGCCATTTCGAATGTTAAAATAAAATCTGTTGGTCTGACTAATTTTGTTGAGACCAACCTTAATTATGCACGTCAATTTACTTTTAACTTACATGATGAACAGCGCCATCTATCATCATTATATGGCATTGTGCCTACATACGTTTTTATATTTTTTTTTTACTTCAAGCAACTTTGATTCTGTTTCTTTTTCAATATTACTGTTGGTCAATTTGCACAGCGCCCTCTATCATCAATATAGCCTCCTTAATTTTGTTCTTGATTACTTTTTTTAATTTAATTCATTACAAACTGTGACCCGACAACCATTTTGATTTTCACAATCTTTTGCCTGTTATTTCTTGAGATGCTTTTATGACAAAGTGATTTGTCATACATGTATGCACATACATTTATTTACATCTAATATGTGTGTCTGGCAGCAATTTTAAGTGTCATATTTTTGGTCTGTCTATCATTTTTTTTAGAATACTTGACCAATATAGGTAATATTTGACACAAGGACAAACTGATCCATGCATAGCCAGTTTACAGAAATTCTTTAAATTCAAAACAAATCAACATGCCGAGTGGGGGCTACGTCATCTTTGATGACTTGTTGTTTATAGTTTCAAATTTTATTAATTATTATTAATAGTTACATTAGTTTATATGTTTCATTATTTATTGTTCATAGTTTCTGAATTTAAGTTTTTATTATTCATAAGTATTTACAGTAATAACAGTTTACCATTCTGAAACCATTTCCAGTTGTTTATTATGATTGTGTTTATGACAGTTTTTCCCCACAGACAATAAGACAGGATGTGCACGGATATGTGCGAGTATGTTTCATGGCCACTCCTCTGTTTCAATTTTAAATATCTCTAGAAATGTCATTTGATGTTTATCATCTATTTTTCGATATCCCACAATGTCTCGATTGCGTGTCCGGTAATTCTAACTAACTACTATTTCGCAAAATTTACCCAGCCTTGCTTCTACCAGTTATTTAAGTCGACTCCCACACTGTCCTCCACAATGGAGGTTGATTCAGATATATTGTAAATTACACAAAGGTAACACTACAATAGATTTTCCTTCACATTCCCTTCCATTCCACGGCAGTGTTTGTGCTGAGACAGTTATGGTTCACAACCATCACTAGTTCTCTTGTATTATGCTTATTTCGCGTTTGATACGTCATCGTTCGAAATTGACGAAGAACGAACTCTTGATGGCGCTATGTATTTACTTACAGACGGTACAACATACTCGTATTCTATGTTTCCAGCGTTCTGCGTTCTTTTGAAATACACATTCCCATAGATTGTGATAAATTTTGTCGTGTTCTGTTCAGTCACACTTTCATTTGAACTCTAGAATCAATAGCAATTAAGTGCTGAAAACCAATTTTGACTTTTTTTTGTCGATTTTAAAGCGCGGTGGTCGTCGCGCAGCGCGTGTTCGAATTTCATGTAAACAAACAATGTATTTCACAGGCGTTGTATCCTCGGGGGCGAACATCCGGGCATTTTCACCGCCTGGCAACCCGCGGCGGCCCAAAACTCGCATAAAACGGTACTTCGGGGTGATTGTTGAGACTCCTCTGAACAGTGCAAGAAAATTAGCCCTACGTGTGTAACATATATAAATTTGGTTGTTCGCGATTATTTCAAAGTTGAGTTTGTGTTGTTTTCTCGAATTTTCACCGGCTCGACTGGCGTTCCACAGCAGCGCGCACAGAGCCCATATAAATGCATGGTACAGTAGTGCGCGTCTTAGCAACGTGGAACGTCTGTGACGTAGCTCCGCCCCCGAGGCTACGTCGCTATGAGTCCCATATCGAATAGCACGCGGCCCGACGACTGTCGCCCTTTAAATTGTTCTTTCGCGCCCGCCATATCAAGATGTAGCATTTATGTGACTACTCTTGTATCGTATTCCATTTATTTTATTTTTGAAATCATACAGACAAAAACATTTTTGTATTAAATGTATTACAATTTATTCCGCTAAAACCAAGGGAGGTCATCCCAGTGAACACAGGACAGTGACGAAGGTGTCAAATACTCAGGAGAAGATTTTCCCCGTCATTTATAATTTATATACACCCAATCATTCGCAGTACACGTATTCGATAATACTGCGCATGACAAGTATACCTCACATTCCCAAGGAGATGAACGTTAGACCATTTACGGGTTATTGGTGCGCGTGATAGATTACAGCAATCACCTTCAGCCTCGTTCGCAGAAAGTCCTTGACTCGTTGGCTCAACGCTATGCCCGTAGCGCCAATCAAATGAGTTGTGTTTTTTGTTTTCGAAAATTTGTGACGCTCCAAAATTGTACATCTGATTCCCAAGTCGCAGCGTGATAGATAGACTGTTCAAATTACTATTGCGCGAATACCTGAGAACGAGGATGTTCAAGATGGCGGTTTAATAACGTACTCTGGCACGTACGCGACACTGAAACACGCAAATGATCTAAGTCCGAAAGGTTACATTAACTCCATGCCATATGCACTGCCTGGCAATGAAATGACCCCTCTCTCCTTTCTCGTGACTATACTTTCTAAAAGAATTCATTATTTATAAGATTATGGTACAGTTATTTACAATCCGTCATATATATCAAATACAACTAAAATTTCAACATTGACAATATGGCGCCAATCACGCTTTCTATAATCACTCAATTCAAGCACAGTTCCTCTAACATGGGACTGTGATCCAAGTTACGGAATAGTCTTTGATTAGTCGCTGTTGGTATTGCTATGCAAATTATCTCTCAGAAGAGTACAAAAAGTACGGGAACAGATAAAGAAATATTGTTAGACGTGATAATAGTAGAAAATGTACATATAAAAAAAGTTAAAATATAAAATTTATTTACAGTGCAAACAAAATCAAATGTTGTATCTACAATTCTTCAAATGCAACTAGGCAACACGTACGGGTCATTTTAATTGAATAATTCACTCCTTGTGTGGAATAAGCAAAATGTATATACGCGTGCGTAGTATAGTCAGTAATTAGAGTAATTGGAATAACAAACACACACATTGGTCACGTGATGGTAAAGTGTCAGCATCCATTCACAAGCTGCAGGCCAGCAATGAACGCGAAAGAGCTGTTAAACTATCAAGGTTGTACCCCTTCCCAATTATAGGTTATCTTGTGATGTCATCATTTCTCATTACAATTTTGGGAAACAATTATATCTATTCCACATTTGCATATCTTAATTATCAACCGGAAGTACTTTGTGATGCATTGTGAGGAGAGTTACACTGATTAAAAAAAATATTATTAAAATTATAAAATAAACTGTTTAGTGGACGGAGATTTTTGAGGTATGATTTGACAAAGATTGTATTGCAACAAAAACCCTCATGTTCAGCCCCCCCCCCCTCAGTAATGATTTTGACAAGGGATATGATCATGAGCTTGACTCGTGAACCAGAATCACATCCCATTTTTCAGAAATAAAAGCTCGCCCCTTAAAACAATCTTACGGTGTTGATGAATCTGAGAAACTGATCAACGTAACAGTTTATGGACGTAGAGGGCGCAGTGTTCTGATTTGCTCGTTCAGTCATTCACAGATATGAATAATTGTAAGTGATCATCAACAAACGCAACTATGCCACTGATTATTTCTTGAAAACGTTCTTTAAATACTCTAATCGAAGCTAACTGTGTATGTAACCATGATTTTCGAGCCCCTTGAAGTGGTCTCGTATCACATATCTTGCACTCTAGTTGGTATCATTATCAAATTAAAACGCCCTCATCGATGCTGTATTGACTACAAGTTCAAGTCCGATTCAGTCGATGAGGGCGCAGTAATTCGCGCCGAACATGCAAGGCTTCAAGAGATCGTCATTACAAAAATTTGATATGTTTCAGGGAATTGTTTACAATATTGCGATTAACGTTGAATTTTTGGTCTGAAATAATAATCTAAACATCGTTATTTTACGTATGTTGGTCACGTGGTCTATTGCGTTGCGACCAACATACTGCGCTGATTAAGTTTACCAGGAGACGACTTGAACGAGGGAAACCATTGCCATGCTGCTGATCAACAAAGCGGCTGAGGCGACGCTGAGGGCGCCTCCACGCGTGTTGCATCCATCACCCTCGCAGTAATAATAGCATGTTTCGTCGTTATTAGCATCAGTTGAGCAATCTCCGCTGGTACCGTTTGCTTCTTCGTCTGTACAGTATCTTTCGAATGAATCGGACGATAACCCTAAAAGATAATAACATCCAAAAATGTTATCCGTCTTATTCTTGCAGACGTTGTTCCGATAAGCCCGCATAAACCGTGAATAACAAATATTGATATTGAATTCTACTTTAGATGTTGAATTTTATTTTATGGGAAGAAAACAAATTGAAAATATTAATATCCATGAATAAGACGGTATTTTAAAGAAAAATGCAGGCAAATTTACTTTCATTAATAGTTTTGGCGGGAAAAATTTAGCGTTCAAATAAGTTAAATGTTCATCATTATTCTTATAAACATATTTGGCGGGAACAATTATTAATGAAGATGAAACAATTATCGATACACAATTCAAACTTAAATACAAGGTGTCTGTTGGTTGATGAAATGACATTTGGACATCCATAAATGACGTCACTGATAGGCTGGCTGAACTCAATTGCCACTGGAATTTATAATAACTATAAATAATGGGCGTGTGGTGATCAGTCATTTACTTACAACTGTCGTAGTCTATTGTTCGTACTGCACAGCGTGTTCCTCCAGTCAGGCAAGGTATCGGTTCATAGTTGGCCTCAAGATCATTCATACAGTTGTAATCATCCCAAATGCTACTTTCGCAATCGTAACATTGAGTGAATCCTGAAGGCAAGACAACGTTTGAATAAATAAACGCAAATCAGTTCGATTTTTTAAGAACATTAACATAGTTTACTCATTGAATGATTAAAACTGTTTTGTTGTGTACATTGTTTGTAATCCTCCACATACAAAGCATTTCATACCAGTATGCGCTGTGACGTGACTAACGTCACTCGTTTACGTTTATGCCAACCAAGTTGCGCACGTGACAGATCAGTATTGGCTGGTTCCCGCCTCAAGTGTCATGGCGCACCAAGCCACAAGACTCCGGTAACTAGTAATGGTTCCAGCATTCTGATTAGTCCACCATTTTCTCGTTTCTTGTTATATTTCCCTTGGTTACCTGACGTCAGCGCTTACGCTCGTGGCCGTTCAGGGGTTTCCTTTTACTTTCGAAAATTGGGCGAACAAAAAACTGTTTCTTTTGTTATCAATTTGTACAAAAACAGCAAGAAATGTCAGAACCATCTCAAATATTAAGTCCTTGCTGGCAGACGGTATGGGCATGGCATTTTTTAAGGGATCGAATATTAATATGTTTTCAAATTACGTCGCTTGATCACGTGCCTTTGGGCCGGAATCCCGGCCCGGTGGAACAATATGGCGATTGCCTGCGTCCTACTTGCCATTCACAAGGAACTCCGGGAACCAGCAAACAGATCAGTACTACTCGCTGTGGTGGCGCTGTCCATACGTTGATGTTGAACACACACAATAGCAATAGCCCCATACAATCAATTGGTTGTCTGCGCAATAGCAAACGACGCCATTATGTCATCTTTGGATACGAACGACTGAAGCTCGCAATTTGAACCAGTCACAAATACTAGACCTCCACAATTATGCTTGCCGTTTTTGTTGTCCGATCAATTTGAAAAGCAATTTAAAATTGGAGAAGATTATTACAAATCGTTGTTTTTATGGGACACCCTGGAGTTTCAGGAGGTGTGATTTTTAGTAGTCATGCAAAATGCCCGTACAACTTATATTCACATACCTGAGTCATCGGCGTTGCAGCCGTCTTCGTCACACGTACACACGTAAGCAGTATATGAATAATCAACTGTGTATTCACCGCAGCCATTCAGTTCCCAGGTACTGTTCTCTAAAGTAGAAGCACATCCTCGTTCCACGTTCAAATTCATGGAGTCAACTAAGAAAAAAAAAAGGATATACAAAAATAAGAAAGTGTCATTTACAAGTTGGACATACTAGTAGCTAACGCAGACCGGAACAGGAAGCCAGGGAGAGACAGGTGATTTGCTTGTTTAAGGTGGAGTAAGACAATAATAATGATAATTTGCGATTACTCCTGCCATCGTTTGGTGTTTAGTGGCGCAGGTTCTCCGATGTAAGCATAGACTCTTTTTTTCAATTAGTGATATTTTTGTTTTAATTAGGTATATTAACGAAGTACGGTTTAAGTGTTACCTTCTGTTTATCGTTTTTTGTTTGTTTTGTTGTGTGTATGTGAATCAGATTTTACTTTCACTTTGCGTTGCCCGTTACAGAACCCCCCCCCCCAACTGTTTGTGGTATATCCACGGGGGTTAAAACAAATTGTCGATTGTAGCTTAAACATCAGAAACTTTTCTGTTTCGGAAATTCTCTATTGTATACTTACATATAGACTCGACGTTGTAACCCCAGGTATAGCACATTGTATCGCAGCTGACAGTAGTTTCTGACGCAGGGTCGGTGAGGCAACTAGACTGACCCCCTGATGACGACCACGAAGATTCAGAATACGAACATGATGCACACTGTAGTGAGTTTACACTACTCAGACCTGTGGGTTAAAAAAAAACACGAAATATTCAGCAACTCGCAATTTCAAACGTTCTTCGTAATCGCGATGTTAATTTTTGAGGTTCTTCCAGTGTTTGTACGTACTGTGACGCTATTGTCACGCTAAACGCAGACCCCAAAAAATGCCGAATCATTGTTATTTATTGGCAATTTCGTCGAAAAAAGAATTCATTCATATGGGTATATGGGTCTCATATAAACAAAGATGGCGATTTTGACTGTTGCGCAGATCAACGAGTACAAACTGAGAAGTTTCCAAGCTTTAATTAGGTAATGTTCTGGTGATTGGAAGGTATCGAACGAGTCACCGGCGGTAATTAATGCAAATCGCGCCCAGGTTAAACCTCATACTTGTGATTTCTATTTGAAGAGCGTATTGGATTGTGGGAAAATATACGCGCGGGTTGATATACTCCGCAGTATTAGACTAATGTTTATGCCAGCTTCAGTTTCGTTTAGAATATGTTAAACATTAAAATATAGAAATGAGCAGCAACAGCAACGTGCCAGTAGAAGCAAGCGAACATGCCCAGGACTGTGATAGCGTGATAGCGTACCTATTATTATCAGACAGGTGGCCAGTAACAGATTGAAGCACGCCATTTTCAGAATTAAAGATCGTTGTACTCTGTGATACACCTGTTAAACCTGAAAAAAAGAAAACGGCTTGTTATTGAAATTGGAAAATTACTACGTTTGCTGCAAACATCAATAAAATGCGTGACAATAACAATTGTTCCTTTCTGACCCCTAAAGGTCACACCTCCTGGTACTTTCCATGACCCCTAAAGGTCACACATCCTGGTACTTGCCATGACCCATGAAGGTCACACATCCTGATACTTTTGTTGGTATGACAGAATCATAAACATGAACAATTGGGGCATTTCAATATGTCTGATTGTACTCAAGTATCTAAACCAAACAAATAAGTTTTAATTTTAATTAAGTAAAATAATTTCACTTTTGATTTTCATACCAAAGAAAATACCAGGATGAGTGACCTTTCAGCAGGGGTCATGACAGTGACCTATTCATTCATAAACTATCTTTTAATACATTTCGGTCTAGGTTTGCTGTTTTCAGTTTTTATAGCTGTCATTCGAAGGCGTAAAACGGTGATGCTCGCAACCAAGGTTTGTCGATTTTTTATTTTGCCGGATTTCCGCAATCGCAGATCACAATCGTTTAATCTCGTGTGACATTCCCATATAGCAATGGCAAATATAAGGGTCGGTGTAGAAATGGAATTTTATCATAATTCATGAATAACTAGGCCTTCTCCCATACGAGAATTTTCTGTCGATATTTGCGAGTTACGATTCGCTGTCATAATCACAGTAATTCGTGGCGAGAACGAGGCTATGATTGTAAGCATATCCTCGGGGGCGGAGCTACGTCACAAGACGTTCCACGTTGCTACGACGCGCATGCATTTCTATGGGCTCTGTGCGCGCTGCTGTGGAACGCCGATCGAGCCGGTGAAAATTCGAAAAAACAACACAAACTCAACTTTGAAGTAATCCCAAACAACCAAACTTATATATGTTACACACGTAGGACTAATCTTGTTACACTGTTCAGGGGAGTCTCAACAGTCATCCCAAAGTAACGTTTTCTGCGAGTTTTGGGCCTTTGTTTTCACCGCCGCAGGTTGCCAGGCGGTGAAAATGCCCGGATGTCCCCCCCCGAGGTATATGTAAATTCGTATGCAAATTCGTGTATCAACCAACAAACCGTTTGTTGTCATCTTTCGAAGTAGAACATGGA